ACATCCTCCACATGAAGCATCCCTGGCTGCCTGCTGTCAGTCACAATGATCATGCGCAAATCTGGCACCCTGGCAGACCCAAAACAGATCATTATGCTGCAGTCACAACTGGTTTTGTTATAAAGTTTAAAAAATATATCTGTTTTTAATTCAGTGAATGAATGACATTTGCTAAATCTGATATCTGACACTGTCAGACCTGGAGCTTTTGATCATGCCAATTGGCATGGTGTCGATTCCTGGGCAGATCTCTCTCAGCATCTCACAAAAGTTTTGCGTTTTAAAGCTGGTGGGACACAACACAGCTTTACATTGAACCTAGACACAACAAACCAGCACCGTTACATTTTATCAGAAAACAAAATGTGTGCTTTTACCTCTTTTCGATTGTATTTGTTTTTACAACAAAGTCATAGTGGCATGTTGATATGTATGCAGGGGAATGAGAACAGTTACCTTTTGTAGAGTAAAGACCACTTCTTCCACATGATAGGCTGGGTTCAGTGACACCTGCAAGAATCAACCAACTTAAAGTTAAAATACCTTGTCTGAGATATTTGTCAGACATACCATGTGATTGATAATGTGCTTGCAGGTTTTTTTTTTTTGGTTTTTTTTTGGTCATGCATTATTTGTAAAGTCCAAACTGGATAATGATAATCTCATATACAGAACACATTACATTGCAGCTCTTCTGTTGCTGGTTAATTCAGTATGTGTCTCACTTGTACTTGATAGCAGACCAGACAAAGAGTGATTCCGAAGACTTATATGGACAGGAAAAAACATTGAGCTTGGCGTCCTTTGCACGGACATGGGTTACCGGGGCCCCACCCTGGAGCCAGGCCTGGGGGAGGGGGTCATCAACAAGTGCCTGCTGACCCATGGGACCTGGTTGGCTCTGCCCAAATGAGCAACATGGGTTTGCCTTCCTGTGGGCCAACCACATGCAGGAGGAGCCATACAAGTTTGGTGGCATAAGCCTTACCAAAGCTAGCTCTTGAGACATAGAATGTAATCTTTCTGGCAGGGAAGTAGCCTGAGCTTGTGAGTGACTTTGAGAGGTACTCACTAGATATCTAAAAAAGTTCAATCTGGTCCTCTGGACATTCAAAAAAACAAAACAAAGCAAAACAACAACAAAAAATGTAGAAACGTTTCTTAAATAGCACCTTCTCAGAGTGGATCAACCAGTTTTGCTGCTGACAACCAAAACCAGCTGATCACCTCAGCAGGCAGCACCTCAGACTGAGGAAGCCTCTCGGATGAGAGACGAAACGTTTCTACATTTTTTGTTGTTGTTTTGCTTTGTTTTGGGTTTTTTTTTAATGTCCAGAGGACCAGATTTAACTTTTTTAGATTTTTCTACCTGGATTATTGAGCATGCATCAGGATACTCACTAGATAGTTGGGCTCAACTTAATGCACAGCATGGGTTCCGGAACCAATCTCCTTGAGAGGGGCTGTACCTTATTCATCTCTGGAGTTGCCCATAGTGAGAGGCGCCAAAATGGTGTGGGTCTACTTTTAGCCTCAAGATTTGGTGCCTCTGTGTTGAAGTTTCTCCTGTTTGATGAGAGGGTGGCTTCCCGGCACCTTTGGGTGGGGGGATGGGCTCTAACTGTTGCTTTTGCCTATGTGCCAAATAGAAGTTCAGAGTATCTGGCCTTCTTAGAGTCCTTGGCAGGGGTGATGGAAGGTGCACCAGCTGGGGACTCCTTTATTCTGCTGGGGGACTTCAATACCCATATGGGTAATGATAGTGTGATCTGGAGGGGCGTGATTGGGAGGAACAGCCTCTCTGATCTGAACCCGAGTGGTGTTCTGTTGTTGGACTTTTGTGCTAGTCATAGTTTGTCCATCACAAACACCATGTTTGAATATAAGAATGTCCGTAAGTGCACTTTTCACCAGAATGCCCTAGATCGATGATTGACTTTGTAGTCATGTCATCTGCAGCCATTTGTTTTGGACACTCTGGTGAAGAGAGGAGCTGAGCTGTCAACTGATCACCACCTGGAAGTGAGTTGGGTCAGATGATGGGGGCAAGATGCTATACAGACCCAGTAGACCCAAACATGTAGTGAGGGTTTGCTGGGAACGCGTGGCAGAAGAACCTGTCGGGAATATCTACAACTTGCACCTCCAGAAGCGCTTTAAGTGCATTCCAGCTGAGGCGGGGAAATTGAGTCAGAGTGGGTCATGTTCCACACCTCAATTGTTGAGGTAGCTGCATTGAGCTATGACCGCAAGGTTGCCGGTGCTTCTCGCAGTGGCCATCCTCAAACTTGGTGGTGGACACTCCAAGTTAGGGAGGCTGTCAAGAAGAAGAAGTTCTATTGGGCCTTGTTGGCTGCTGGGACTCCAGAGGCAGCTGAGTAGTACCGGAGGGCCAAGTGGTCCCCAGCCTTAGCTGTTACTGAGGCAATAGCTTGGATGTGGGAGAAATTAGGTGAGGCCTTGGATAAAGACTCTCAGTCGGCTCAGAGGATATTCTGGCAAACCGTCAGGCAGCTGAGGAGGGGAAACAGCACTTTACTGACATTGTTTATGGTGAAGGTGGGGTTCTGTTGACCTCAGCCAGTGATGTTGTCAGGAGATGGAAGGAATACTTCTCTGACCTTCTCAATCCCACTGGCACGTCTTCCATGGGGGAAGCTGAGTCGGGGGACTTTGGGGTTGATTTGTCCATAACCATGGCTAAGGTCACTGAGATAGTTAAAGAGCTCAGTGACGGCAGGGCTCCGGGGGTGGATGAGATTCACCCTGATTTATTTTAGGCTGTAGATGTTGTGGGACTGTATTGGTTAACATGCCTTTGTAGCATCACATGGACATTGGGGCCAGTACCACTGGATTGGCAGAATGGGGTGGTGGTTCCCCTCTTCAAAAATATAGATGCATCACTTTCCTTAGCCACCATGGTAAGGTCTATTCAGGGATACTAGAGGAGCGAGGCCAATCATTGGTCAAACTTCAGATCCAGGAGGAAAAATGCGGATTCTGTCCTGGCTGTGGAACACTGGATCATCTCTTTGCCCTAATTAGGGCCCTCGAAGTGTCATGGGAGTTTGCCCAGTCGGTCTACATGTGTTTTGTGGACTTGGAGAAGGCTTTTTGAATGTGTTCCTTGAGGTATACTGTGGGAGGGTACTTCATCAGTATGAAATTGGAGGCCCGTTTCTATGGGTTGTTTGGTCCCTATACCAGCAGTGCAAGAGTTTGGTTCACATTGCTGGTAGCAAGTCAGACCCCTTCGCGGTGGGAGTTGGACTCCATAAGGGCTGCCCATTGTCACACATTCTGTTCATAATTTTTATGGACTGAATTTCTCATTGCAGCCGGGGGGTGGAGGGAATCTGTTTCAGTGGCCTCGGTATTCCTTCTCTGCTATTTGTGGATGATGCGGTCCTGTTGGCGTCATTGTGCCATAATCTTCAGCTCACTGGAGCGATTTGCAGCCGAGTGTGAAGCGGTTGGAATGAGAATCAGAACCTTTATATCTGAGGCCATGGCCGTCAGTCAGAAAAGGGTGGATTGCTCTCTTCGGGTCAAGGGTGAGGTTCTACCTCAAGTGGAGGAGTTCAAGTATCTCGAGGTTTTGTTCACGTGAGGGAAGAATGTAGACTGAGAGTGACAAATGGAATGGTGCAGCATCTGCAGTATTGCACACTGTGCTGGTCCATTGTGGTAAAGAGGGAGCTGAGCTGTAAGGGAAAGCTCTCTGTTTACCAGTCGATCTACATTCCTACCCTCAACTATGGCCACAAACTCTGGTAAGGATGCTTTTTGGGCGCCTCCCTAGGGAGGTGTTTTGGGCATGTCCAATTGGGTGGGGAAGACCCCAGGGAAGAACCAGAACACGCTGGAGAGACTGCATCTCTCAGGTGACCTGGGAACGCCTTGGGGTCCTCCCAGAAGAGCTCAAAGAGGTGACTGTGGAAAGAGATGTATGGGCCTCCTTGCTCAAGCTGCTGCCCCAATGACACAACTTCAAAATAAATGGAAGATGAATGATGGATGGATGGTTGGATGGATGGATGGATGGATGGATGGATGGATGGATGCATGCATGGATGGATGGATGGATGGATGGATGGATGGATGGATGGATGGATGGATG